CCCCCCCCCTTCACTCCTGTGGTTTGCTAGGTTCGCTGAACTGAAGGAGCCAGTAGGGATTTTGTTATGTTGGGGGTTAATTAGTTCGTTGCATGGTGATTATACATGAGAATTTCCTATGTCCTAATATAATGCTTCTACACAGAAATGTTATATAGAGAAGCAGCAATAAGCAGAAAATGCAGCAGCATCTTCTAGATGTCCCTTTGGTTGCCAAAGTAGTAAAAGGGGGGAAAAATTCAGTGAGGCGGGGATGTGGGGTCATAACTGACCTGCTCTTAGCTCTCTGTCAGAAACGGAGAAACTGCATGTAGCTGCCATTAGTGATAATGTGTGCAGGGAGTGGAGTACTGCATGCTGTAGCTGTGCTGCCATCCGTTTCGAGGGAACTGATTGTCCTTGCTGCTTGTACCTCAAAAACCTCCGCATAAAGTTGGGGAAAGTAGAAAAACAAAACCTCAGAAGTTTTTCCCCCTGCTTCTGCCTATGGTTGCACACTGTTTTCTTCCAGCCTCTCATTGAACAACCACCCCAGCCTTGCATCATTGCCCAAAGGTTGATAAATGTGAGGTTTGGGAGAGCGGGGAAAGCGGGATGCGGCGTGGATCCCTGCTGGGAGCTCTGCTGCCCCAGGGGGGGCCTCTGCTCCTCCTGAGGGATGTGGTGCAGGCAGCTCTGCAACACCAGGAACGCATGATAGCTGCTACCACCAGCTCTGTCAAGTGAACCTGAGAGAAAATAAATAGCTAATGGAAATGTATATCTGTACATTTGCTATGTGTATATACATATGCAAGTGCAACCTGTGCCAAGGATGACCTTTCTAAGTGGCAGGTTCACTGGTCTTCATGTCTAAACAGCAAGGTGAATCATTTTAAATAGCTAAGTAGGCCTGGGAACAGAAGAGGTTGTGTAGCTTGGACCCGGTCCTGTGGGCTGGGGCTGTGTGCGCCACATGGCACTGTACAGGGACGTGTGGTTATTCATGGCTGGGGCTTTTGTGCTATTCCAGAAGTGGAAACTGGCCTTGGTTGCTTTGGAGTTCTGGCAACAGAATTTTGAAAATGGCAAATGCTGTGCAAAAGTTCAACTTGATTTGGAAGGATTTTCCTACTGTGCAAAGTTAAAAATAAATAAAAAATCCCACTCAAAGTCCTCTCTCACCACAGGGAGACCTGCAAAGCAGGAGTGCTCCCAGGACCTGTCCCCTCTGCTGCTGGGAGTCACTAATAGATGCACAAGCAGGATCCTGCCTGCTTGTGAGATCCACAGTCTGGATTCATGTACCTGTTGGTTCCCATTCTGCAAACTATCAATACAGTCTCAATTTTTCCCCTCAGTAGAAAAAAAGTTCAATAAAAATCTGAGGCATCTGTACAATGTTACTTTTTTTTGTTACCAGACAAGATTTTGAGGGTGTATTTATTCTAAGTGCTTAAATCGAGTAGTAGGACACTGATAGACTTGGCTGTTACAGAACAAGAGGTTCTGAATGCTAACCTAATAGGAATGATCATGTAAAGTGACTTCAGCTGCTAGATGAACCAGCTATTTATGATAGTGAAGTCCCCAGCATTTACTTGGATGTGCACCTTTTGGGATGTAGGCAGCAGCGGGTGGGTTATGTCACAGGAAGTGCTGCCTTCAGACCACTTTAAAATGGTTGAGGACCTGTCTGCAAGCAGTTTTTTGGTCCTTCTCGGGTTATCTGCTGCCTGCTACTCTCTACTCTTACCTAATGCTTCTTATGTCACCATGACTGCAAATGGGAGTTGCAAGCCTAAGAAGTACTCTTTATGGTTAATGGCATGATTGAGGGAGAATGGCAGGCAAGAATTCAGCTCAACTCTACAAATTTTCACATAAATTATTGCGGAATTCTTAGTCAAGGGCATTATATGACTATAAGGTCTTGTTAAGGGAATCGGTACACGCTATTACCACGTTCTCATTTCTGCTACAGCCTCCTTAAATTCTATATTGTTTCATTCCTAGAAAAATAAAGCAGTTTGAATTACTATTATATCACTGCAAGTTCACTGACTGCACTAGCATTTATTGTGATACCTGATTAATAAATGTTTTGTAGCTTTCCCATAAATAAATAGAGTAGCCACTTTTGTCCCCATATGCTTTGTACTTCAATGTGATCCATTTCTTTCTGCCTTATTCATCAGCTTGTTACATGGTGAGAAAGCTACAGAGTTCACACAACCTGCAGGGGGTCCCATCAGTCTCCCAAAAATTTTTATCGTTTGTTGTTTTGACTTCAGAGATTTAGTGCTTTGGAGTTTCCTTCCAGATTGCTGTGTGTTCCTAACTTTTTACTTTATCATATGTGAAAGACAGCATTAAACTCAGTCAGTTTAGAGTCAGTCAGCCTCTTAAATGCTATAATTGCAAAGACATTTCTTAAAGATTTGCCAAGTTTTACAGAAGTTAATACCTGTAGCCCTGTATTTAAAAAAAAAAAAAAAAAAAACCTTTGAAAACTTTAATGGCTGTGACTTGGGGGAAGAGTGCAGAAGCAGCTGTGAAAACCAAAACTAGGCTCACTTCAATTGTCAGGTCATCTGTGAGCCTGTGAAGTCAAGACTGAGTATTGCCCCTAAAGGATTCCTCTACAGTATCGCCTGTAGAGGAAGGGAGGGTTGCCTGCACATCTGTACATCGATACTGCTAGGAAATGCTACTGTTACTACCAAAACAAAGAAGTTTTATGAATATTTTGAATAGATCAAAGCTTCAAAGAACATTTTTAAGATGGACAAACTTTTTAAATTATTTTTACATTGTTCTGTTTTATTTGTCTGAGAAATATACTTATTTTAGACTTTTCTCAGAATACTCTGCAAAGAGCCATATTCTAAGATCTTCTCTGCATATCTTGTAATAATTAGCTCTTGGTGAGAACTGAAGGGTTTCACACCAAAACAAATCATTGCAATGCTGTGGTTATACTAAAGTTCAATAAGATGGAAGCTGGTAAAGCACCAAGCAAGAAAAATGATTTTATTTTGTAGTGTTAGTCTTCAGGTGATTTCATTCTTTTATTAGCCTACTAATCTCTGAAGAGAGGGCTCTGGGCACCTAGATTTTTCTGAAGTCCAGGAAAATTCCCCAAAGGAGAGAGAGGACACGTGTCCCCCTTCTAACGCAATTGGAGTGTGCCCAGACACGCTGCCAGAACTGCAGCAAAAGCTCAGGAAGGAGCAGTAAAATGTTGATAGGCATTCCCCCACTCACTTTATTTTGTCTGGGGAGAGCAGGGAAGGTTGCAGGAGGGATTGCAAATAATTCTGCTATGTGAGGAGCAAAGAAGGGGGTGAAACGAGATGCAGCATAATCACCTTTGGGATGTTTTCGTCATTTCTGCCTTTTCCTAGAGTTGCAGGTTGTGTGGCCAGCAACCGCTGCTGGCAGGTAGGAAAGGCTACGTTGCGGTGATGTTGCTTATGGCTCCCCAGAAGGATAAGCATGTGGGACAGCAGTAAGTGTGAAGAGAAAATGTCAAAGCTGCTGGTAACAAAGAGCAGAAGGAGCATTTGTCTTCTACTTAAAAACAGGGGTGTGTGCAATCCCCTCAGTCCCTTTAAGAATAAGGATATTCCCTACCCTGAGTGCACTGAAATCTGCTGCTTAACCTTTGACTAATAGATGTTTTGATAAAAGCATTGTTCCCTAGAAAAAAGAAAAACTTGTTTGCGTTTGAGTTTTTTGAGAAATGGTTGCCCAAAAAATACTTTTTGAATAGAGAAGGCCTTAAATACTACAAAGCTGGGTTTCTAAAGAAAAACACAGCACCGAGGGTAGTAAACTAGCCTTTGGGGCACGAAGAGGCTCAGATACCAGCTATTTCACATGTGTCCCAAATGACCTGTGCCACATTAGAAGAGAGACGAGATAGGAAAGAAAAGTGCGGCAGAGAGCCTGTGAACCCAAGCATGTTCACACTGCAGGATGGAGAAGTGAGATTAGGATTAGTGCCTCTTCTGTAGCCAACCTGCAAAACTTCAGAAAAATTTTATCTCTTTGTCTTGGTTCTGCACCTGTAAAATGGGGATACTGGAAAATGTTCTCAGCCTCGTAATGGTGCTGTGGGGAAAAGCATGCTGTAGCTTGTAAATGAGCACAATAGCAAATCAATATGTATAGACATCTTAACTTTCAGCAGCTTCCTTCAGAGGAAACTAATGTGTTTCACGTATCTAGATAAGAGGTTGTTATATATCTGAACGCTGCAGAAAGAGCGAGTTTTGCCAGTTAGGATGACACAATGAAAATTTACATAGTTTTCCTTATTGTTGGGCATTGTGCTTATGGGCAGGCTTTCAGTCTCTCCTGTTTTGAAATAAAAGCATTTAACATCTAACGAGGCCAAGTAGAATTTATCTGGAAAGGGAGACTTTGCATCTTGGACTTCTGACCATAAACTGAGACATCAGAACCCTACTGTCACACTCCCAACAAGCACAGGCAGCTCAAGACGAGGGGTCCTTCCTCCTTGACTCCGTTCCCTTGCGCTTAGACGAAAGGCAGGTAAGCAATATCTGCCTGCATGCCCTAGCACCCTGAGCGCCGTGTGTACACGCCTTGCGATTTTGGTTGCAGCGAATTTGCGTTGTGCTGGCGAGGGAAATGACTGGTTCAGTTAGAGATTTGCAGAAGCGAAGTACAAACATGGGAGATCATCAAAGAAGAAACAATTTAGTTTTGGTATTGTATAAGTTTCCCTAGTCAAGAATTATAAAATGTTTTCTTCATAGGCTTTATTTCTTAATTCCTAACCTTATAGGTGCTCCCATTCTACAGCCTGGACTATCCCACATCCCTGATTTTTTTTTTTTTTTATTACCTACCTGAGTTTTCCTTTTTCCTTTTGGACGGCTTTTTCTCAGTCTCAGTTGAAGTGTTTCCTGGTAGCTCATAGTCCGCATTCATGCCCAGCGCAGCCCCCACCAGATTTGGGCTGCTGCCTTCTGGTTCCCCAGAACCTAAAGCTGGTCCCGGCTGCAGGCGTCCTCTGGCCTCGGTGGCTGCCAGGTGCCAGTCAGGGCGCTGGAAAGGGAGAGGCTGCTGCGCCAGCGCCTGCTCCTCCTGCGGGAAGCTGTGGGGAGCTGTCGCCAGGCAGGAGGCTGCAAAATCAGAGTAAGGAGCAAAGTCCGGCTTTTGGTGGAAGGGGAACGGTGCTGGTGGGTAGTGGCTCAGCCCTGCCACTGCGGGGCTGTCTGCCCGGGCGCTCCGGAGGGAGCGCCAGAGCAGGGCCGGAGGGC